TGGTGGTGTAGTGCCTAAGGCACTTGACTGCTAACCAGAAGCCTGGAGGTTCAAACCCACCAGCCACTCCTTGGAAGGAAGATTGGGCAATCTACTTTTGTAGTGATACTGCCTCAGAAACCCAAGGAGGGGTCGCGATGAGTCAGATCCAACTCAGTGAGTTTGGTTTGGTTCATATGTATGTGTTGTTGTTGTTGTTATGTGTCATCAAGGCGAACCTGACTCATAGGACCCCTCCTTGGGTTTCTGAGGCAGTATCACTATGGAAGTACATTGCCCAACCTTCTTTCCGTGGAGTGGCTGGTGGGTGTGAACCGCCAGCCATATACATATATATAAAGCAAACTCACTGCCATCGAGTCAGTCCCAACCCATAGAGACCCCTCCTTGGGTTTCTGAGGCGGTATCTCTATGAAAGTAGATTGCCCAGTCTTCCTTCCAAGGAGTGGCTGGTATTTTAGAGTTTGTTTCTGCCCCAAATGACCAGTGCTGTCATGTAAGTCCCTCAGAGCCATGGGAAAGTACTCTGAGGACAAAACTATTTACTCTATTGCCTTGTGCTAGGCATCACATTGCCCAGGACAGTGTTCATTCATGGTTTCTGATGTATTCCAATCTCAAGGGAAAACCTAATCTCCCCAGAGGAAGCTCTGATCCTCTCTACCAGGTAGCTTCAGGTAAAGTTAGTAGCTCAGACTCTGCCCAAAGCATAGTCTTCCAGTTTTTACCTTCCACCTGGGGAAGTTCAATAGGGTTAGTGCACAAACATCAAAAAATTGAGAAGGGAAGGGCTCATGCCTGTGACATCAATTGATGATTGCTAGGATCACATTGTTGAGAATCATTACAGGAAGGGTTTCTGGGGGCAGCCTCCAACTTCCCACCATACCACCTCTAAGGAATGTCCAACCTTAGCTTGTGGGTGTCAGATTCCTGAGTAGTGCAAATAGTTTGGAACAGGCTATTAATCTTAAAAGTTGGCAGTTTGAGCCCACCAAGGGGCATCATGGAAGAAAGGAATGGCAATCTGCTTCCATAATGATCATAGCCATCTAAGGTGCAAACATTGGTCTCTTCCTGCCCAGAGCAAAGAAGAGTGAAGAAAATCAAAGACACATGGAAACAATTAGTCCAAAAGTCTAATGGACCACACAAACGTCACCCTCCACATCCTGAGACCAAAAGAACTAGGTGGTACCCAGCTACCACTTCTGACTGCTCTAAAAGGGATCACATTAGAAGGTCCTGGATAGAGTGGGAGAAAAAGTGGAACAAAACTCAAAATCATTCAAAAAAAAGACCAAGCTTACTGGTTGGATAGAGATTGGTGGAATCCCTGAGACTAAGGTCTTCAGTCACCCATCAAGCCTGGAACTGGCTCAATTTACAGCCAAACAATAGGTCTACAAGGCGAATAATAACACTAGAGAGGTATGTATTCCTCAGATCAAAAGGGCAGCATTTGCCCAAGGACAAAGTGCAGAAGGCAGGAAGGGTTACGAGAGAAGGAGGAATGGGCACGAGAAACATGGGAGGAAGTGAGATGAGTACGTGAAGAGGACTGCAATTAATGACATGAAATAAAATGTATATGAATTGAATGGAAAACTGATTTGCTCTGTAAACTTAACCCAAATCACAATAAAGGTTTTTAAAAAAAAAAGATTACTGCCAAGAACACCCTATGGAGCAGTTCTACTCTGTAACACATGGAGTTGCCATGAGT